TTTTTTTTTTTTTTTTGAGATGGAGTCTCGCTCTGTCGCCCAGGCTGGAGTGCAGTGGCGCAATCTCGGCTCACTGTAAGCTCCGCCTCCCAGGTTCACGCCATTCTCCTGCCTCAGCCTCCCGAGTAGCTAGGACTACAGGCGCCCACCACCATGCCCGGCTAATTTTTTGTGTTTTTAGTAGAGACGGGGTTTCACCGTGTTAGCCAGGATGGTTTCGATTTCCTGACCTTGTGATCCGCCTGCTTCAGCCTCCCAAGGTGCTGGGATGACAGGTGTGAGCCACCACGCCTAGCCTTTTTTTTTGAGTCAGAGTCTTACTCTGTCACCCAGACTGGAGTGCGATGGCGCGATCTCAACTCACTGCGGCCTCTGCCTCCCGGCTTCAAGTGATTCTCCTGCTTCAGCCTCCTGAGTAGCTAGGATTACAGGCACACACCATGACGCCCAGCAATTTTTGTATTTTTAGTAGAGACAGGGTTTCACCATGTTGGCCAGGCTGGTCTTGAACTCCTGACCTCATGTGATCCACCCGCCTCAGCCTCCCTAAGTACTGGGATTACAGGCATGAGCCACCATGCCCGGCCAGGCCAGGATTTTAGTAGTGTGGTCCTTCCTCATCTCTCTCAAGCTTTTCTAATAGTGTGTTAACTTACCCTTTGTTTATTACCCTGCTATGCACTATGTGTGTTAAATTGATTTAGCAAATGGTGTGACTTAAAAACAACATTAAAAACAACATTCCATCCTTATTCTAGTGATTTGATATGTCATCTTTACCATGTTCTAAAGCTCCATAGGTACTTGGGTCTATGTCTGGACTCCTAGTCTATTCCATTAGTCTATTTTTATTTATGCATGCATCAGTACCTCTTTGTTTAGTTGCAGCTTTATACTTTGTCTTAATGTCTGGTTCCCACCTTGTAGTTTTTTCTGGCTGTACCTGCATGATAGCAACAATTTGTCTCTCACCTCATAAAATACACATGTAGATTTTTTAAAATTGGAATTGCATTGGATTTATAAATTAACTTAGGGAGAACATTGATGGACAATGGTTGGGCAATAAAGATTTCATGGGCAAGGGAAATGGTATAATTCTATGAAAATGAAAGTAACACTTTCTCTTGATTCACAGATATTAATGAATGTGAGACCGGGCTGGCAAAGTGCAAGTATGAAGCTCATTGTAAAAATAAAATTGGAACTTACATCTGTAGCTGTTGGGTAACACATCCTATCCTCAACTGGCTGGCTGGTTATATAGAGTATAATTTTCCAGATTGTTATGGTAAGAACCTCCAAATACTATTTTCACTGAAAAATGATGGGGACTTGGGGGAAACTCTGAGAGATTCTCTAATTTTAGGCCAGGGTAAGAGAGTAAAGCTCCATCCTAACCCTCATCCCTCATTCCTTTGTTATCTTTGATGATATTTTCCAAGATGGTGTCATCCAAGCCTTGGCATCAATAACCATCTCTATATAGATGCTTCCAAATGTATGTGTCCAATACAGGTCTGTTTCC